TTAACCCAGATGTCAAAAATAGCCTGCGTTTTACTACTGTTATTAAACAGTTTCCCCTTTAACCCCTCCGTGTTTACCAAAGACCCCTTTCTCCCAGCCTGTTTCTGCAAATCACTACTGAAAGGGCAAGAGAAGAAAGCCATAATCGGGCAGGTGTCTTTATTCCAAAGAAAAACAGTCTGAAGGAATATTTGTGAGACACCACACATTTATAGCCTACTCTCCTGGGGACCCTTGTCCGGAGGTGGAATCTTACAGCCCTTGGCCTACCCCCCAACCCCCAGTTCCACGGCACCCCCACCACGCACACCAACAGCAGGGCTTCCATCTGAAGAACCAAGTCAAGATTTTCCACAATGGAAACAGCTTTCTTTCCTTTTCAGTGATACTAATTATTTGGTTTAAAACATCCAAAACTTGCAAACCCAACAAAAAGTCTAAAGGAGAAAAATTTGAAATGCCACCCAGCGAAAATTATTGAAGAAGTCCTGGTATGTGTGCTGGCAGGCATTCATGATTATGTGTCTGTGGGTGCACCAGTGAGATCGAGGTATAGGAATAGAATTAGAATGTACTTGTGTCACTGAAAAAATGTGGCATCATGCGGATGATTTGGTAATGGGAAGGCCATGGGGATTACAACTGAGATAGAAAAAGGCACAAAATGATGTAAAAATTAACTGTTACATTATTTTTTTAAATGTGGTCATCTTTCAATTCAAAAAACATCTGCATCATAAATGTCATATAACCAATCAATCTTAAGCATCCCTGTCATAAGCCCATGTTCAGTTTCTTTGTGGCTCACATTTCTTTCAAACTCCGCACTCCTTTCCTTTATTCATTTGTGTGTCTATTTGTCTGTCTTTCTCCCGAAAATACAGAGTCCATAAGAACAAAGATTTTTGTCTGCTTTACCTTTACATCTCTGACATCAGCACACTATGTAATACAGAAGAGCTATCCTGGTTTTTGATTGCTGCAAAAGCCACTCAAGTTCCATTAGCTTCTCTCTTTGGGTCTCATAAGATCTAAGTCAAGGTGTCAGCCATCCTGGACTTTAAGCTGGAGACTCTTGGGTAGAACCCTACTCTACGCTCACTCTGAGTGTTGGCAGAATTAAATTCCCACTGGCTGTCTGACTGAAGACCCTGTTTATTTGCTGATTTCATTGCTGGTCTGTGCTCAGATCCTCTAAGACATTTTCAGATTTGTGCGTGTGGCCCCTCTATCTCAACATAGCCAAACCCAACTCCCGTTTCAGATTTCCCTGAACTTCTTTTCTGCTACAGGCAAGGAAGAAAACTTTCTGCTATGAAAGGGTTGTGTGATTAAATTAGATGCACTAGGACAATTTCCCTTTGTTTTAATTTAAAATAAACTGATTAAGTGAAGAGAATTACATTGGAAGGTAACATCATCACAGCAGGAGACATCCATGGTCCTGCTGCCAGGGATTAGAGCAACAAATCTTGGAGGTCCAGTTAATTTAGGATTGTCCCTTCTCTAGGTGCTCGCTAATACCTGTGGAAGGAATGAGTGAATCAGTTTGGTCCATGAATGATGCCAGACAGAGGGTGCTAAGTGAGTGAGACTGGCCACCTCCTGCCCTCAGAGAGCTTCTAGTCTAGACGCAGATGTCCAGTATAAATGGTGCTGGTCACATCTGCAGTTGTGAGTGTCCTAGTGGTCATTTAAATCAAAGAGTTATAAGCAACGGGCGATTAATTATAACATCTTATTTGACCCAATATGTCCAAAATATCATTTTAACATGAAACCAATATAAAAAATGATTACTTAGTTACATCCTTTCTTTATACAAAATCAACACAATCCAGAGTCTTTTTATAATCATGGCATATCTCATGTTAGACTAGTCATATTTCAAATGCTTATGTGGCCAGTGGCTATGCTATTGGACAGTAAAAGTCTAGAAGTTACCAGAAGATAACCATGCAACATCCCTCCCTCTGGAGGGTCAGGAAAGGGCTCCAGGGTACAGAGGACTTCTAAACTTGTACTGCAGAATAAATAGGAATCAGTCCATTCAAGGGGTGATATCTATTCTTGTGAGACAGATAAGTTCGTGCAAAGAGGAAAAAAGAAAACATGAGAACTGTAAATAAAGGTTCAGCATCATTGGATCATGAAGAGTGGAGCTGAAGAGAGAGGGAGGCCAGAAGGGGTTTTGCCAGCATGATGAGTTCCTCCTTCATCCTGAAGGTAGGGAGATTGTAAAGGAGGGGTGCAGAGAATGCACATGAACTAGATGTTCTTGTTGAAATAGCACCTTTGGCAACTCCTGGGCACATTGCAGCACCGGGATGCTGGAAGGGCAGAAGGCTGGGGACAGATCTTACCTACTGTGACCATCCAGGTGACAGAGGCCTGGCCAGACAGTCTCTCATAATGAGTGACTCCAGTTGTGACATTGCTGGAAGCTAGGGTTCCTTTTTGAATTTAATTCCTTTTTTTTTAAATTATGTTCTTATTTGACCCTCAATAGGGATCTTTTGCACTTCCAATGACTGGCAGTATCTATCCTAGGAGTTTGTTTTTGTTTTTGTTTTTCTAACTCAAATCCATTTAGACTTCCCAATGAGTGTATATTCTGGTGGAAGGAAAAGGCATCACTTTGTGAGGTTCTCTTTTCAGCATAACCATACAGCATCAACCTTACGCAAGAACAGCACTGAGGTGGTAAGGCATCATATTCTGCCTTGTGACCTGCTACCCAGCTGGAAATCTTTCTCTCAACTGAATAAATGATTGTTCTTTGCTACTTTATCTTGGAAAAACATCAAGGACATCAGACATTCGCTGTAATTATTTTTTACTCATTTCACCATCTGTAAAATATGACTGGTGCATTTTAGTACTACTTTGGGCTTCCCTTTACCTTTTAATCATGTGGCCTTTTAATATATTGGTCAGTCCTTTAAAAGAATGATTAAGAAATGCTTAATGCACAAAAGAATTAGAGTTATGTGCAGCTCATGAAGCAGAAAGCGTGCTCTGACTTACAATTTTCATACAAAGTTTACAGAGATTTTATGTGCCAGAATGAGTAATATGATCTGCTCTAGGAACTCCCTTGCTTTCTGGCTCTGCAAAAGTAATTTTTTTTTTTTTACTCCGATTCAAGTTTCTTCACCAGAAGGGTTACACCAAACTCCTCAGAGTATGAATTAGGAAAGTTCATCCAAGCTACATATTTCACTTGCACTCTTTAGAGATGAGTTGAAATCACTGCCTACCTATGTAGACAACTGAATCTTTGGTGCAGAGCACAGATTGAGAAATACTGTTTATCAAAACCAACTCTGACAGTGCAGGCTATGTATATAAAACATAGCTTACGTGTGTGTGTGTATGTGACCTGCTATATTCCCCAAACAATTGGGGTGTTGCCATGTGCCTAGAAACTTCCAAAGTATCAAAGGCTGGGCGATAACTACCCAGTTACACCAAATTGAGCATCAGCAGGGGAGAAAGTCTACACTTAAAGGGTCTATGCGGGGTGACCCTCTCCTCTTACCTATCTTATTGTTTCTTCCCAGGCTTCAGGGCACTGGGACATTGAGAAAACTTGGAACACTCTGGGTACCTGTTACATAAGGCATGAAAAATGCAAATAGAAGATTGATGAATTTCTGCTTGGTGGGAAGTACTTACACACATCTCATTTGATGTGGGGATGAAAGCCAGGTCTATTTCATTCTTCTCTATTTAAAAACATATCAATATACTTGAAACAATTTCATTGTGGTAAAAAATACATAGCAAAATTTACCATTTTAAGTGTATAAATCAGTGGCATTAAATGGCATTAAATGAATCTAACCAACACTACTATTTCTAGAACATTTTCATTACCCCAAACAAAAACTTTACCCAGTAAAAGGACTAATTCCCCACTCTCCTCTTCATCCACCCCCACCCCAGCCTATGGTAGCCGCTAATCTATTTTCTAGATTCCTTTTTAGTGGAATCACAGTAATTGTCTTTTTGTGTCTGGAATAATTTAACTTAACATAGATCTTCAGGGGTTATCAATGTTACAGTGTGAATCAAAATTTCATTCCTTTTTAGGACTAAATAAAATTTTATTATAATGAAGTTCCATGTTTTGTATGTAGCACATTTCATTTGTCATCTGTTGACAGACACTTGGGAGTTGTTTCTATCTTTTGGCTATTATGGGTAATGCTGCTGTAAACACTTGTGAACACGTAGCTGCCTGAGTCCCTGCTTTGCATCTTCTGGGTACATACCTAGAAGCCCATTGCTGGATCCAAGAGCCTCTTAGATTATTGCTCTCCCATGGTTGGTGAATATTGTTAAGTTATCTAGCGTCTTGATCATCTTTCTCTTATCTCTATAAGATCAAGTTAAAAAATAACTGAGGGCCCTCCCTGGTGGCCAGTGGGTTAGGACACAGCACTGCAAGCTGGCCTCAGCCACTTCAGTGCAAGTTCAAGCCTCGGCCCCTGAGGTGACCCACATCTCGAGGTGGACCTCTCCTGACCCACCCGCTGCTCCCCTCAGCAGTGTACTTCATCGATATGCCTGTTCGGCTCCCCACTCTGTCTCTGGTGATTCCTCTCACTGCCCCTGTACCTCTGGCCTGTACCCCAGTTCTGCATGCATAAATAAATAAATCTTTAAAAAGAAAGGAAGAATGAACCACTGGATGTTTTGGCATGCTTTCTTAAATTTTCTTCTTGCATATTAAGAGACATCTAAATCTGTATGTGACATATTTTGACAGAGACTTCTTCTCGGATGTATTTGCAGGACATAATTTAACTTTCTGTTTACTTTGTGTTTCTTCCATATGTCGGTCCCATTGCCTACCCGCTCCCAGCCCAATCCCAAACAACCCAACCAAAAATGGTTGAAAGGCTGGTGCAGAGGGAGGGGAGCAGCTGTCAGGGTTATCCTGGATCACAGTGCCAGTTGTTTTCCCTGCTAAATCGTGTACTTTCTTGTTGCAGCTATCAGAAGGGCTGAATAAAAAGAAAATGCAGCTCTACAGCGATATTCCGATAATCTATTGCAGTGCGGCTCACATCACTGTCCATCACCACCTGGAATGGCTCATCAGGACTGAAGAGGAGTTTTCACTTTCATTATTGAGCATGTTTCTGTTGGATTTGATATTTCCTTCATCATCCCATGTCCTTTCTCGTGGGTTCATATATATGGGAAAGGAAGAATGTGGCAGAGAAGGAAAAAAATGACAGATTGCCCATATCTGGTCTGGATGTGGGCATTGAACATGTGATCATCTCTTCTGAATGTCATTATTTGATAACAATTATGTTACTTAGACATCCTCAGATAAATTTGAGCTCCGTGGGATTTAACTGTGGATTCAGCTTCTGTTGGACAACTAGCTTCATCTCCAGTTTTTCTGCTGGCTCAGTCGAAGTGGGCATTCCTAATGCATTAGATTATCAAAAAGAGTAAATTCTCTGTGAGTGAATGGTGTTGGCAGTGTTTGTATACTGAGATGCATGGAGTGTTTGACAAAGAAACCAAAACACCAAAAACGGCGAGCCTTTACCCTCCTCTATTTCTTTAATCTGCTGTTTGAAGAACCACATTTTGATGGTGTAACCAGTAGTTACCTCTGGGCCAGGTTGGAAATGAAATCAATTTTTTAAACCACTAATACTTGCCAAGAAATCGCCTTATGAGAACATGGTGTGTGTCTCTGACAATGCATGGCACATCTAAATTAATCATTCATGATTTTATCTACCCTGTTTATGTACCGAAGAGTGGCAAAAGCCTGAGGCACCTGCCTGTTTCTCTCTCTGTATTGAATGTGTCCCCACAGCTGGGATGTGGCCAAGCCTCAGACTTTTTCCATTCCCTTACATGCAGGGCTCCATGAAAAAGCTGGGACTCATTCTCATTTCAAGATCCAAATGCTGTGCAAACAGTATAAGCTTAGATCGTCTGTAAATGAAGGTTCATTTCTCATTTTTTAAAAATGTCTATAACACGAATTCCAAAGCCTTTTCAACATTCAATCAAAAACATTGATGAATGAGGAATAATCACAAAAGCTGTGTACCTGTATATAGCTCTACATAACATGTTTGTGGGTACAAAATCATTATTTAAAGCACATGCCAGGGAAGGAGACCAAATTTTGTGGTCTTTCACATACAGTGACATGGTACTAAGGAGAATTAAACTCCTACTGCTTACTCTGAAGATTAAAAAAAATAATAATAAGTTGTTGTAACTTCTTAGAACTCATGACCAAGTCTGGCAAACACGTGCAACTATTGTATTGATCCATTTTTTGTCAATGGAAGATACTCTTCCACATGTATGCAAGTAGGAGATGAAAATCTGCATTTTTAAAGGACAAACAGTGAATTTAAGCATGAGTGGCCTTAATAAATATAGTTGTCTTTCTTTGCTGCTGTGGAAAGGATTCTAAACATATGTTCCTGAAGTCTTGCATTGAATTTACTTGTTATGATTACTTTTTAAAATGTTGGTGCAATGAACTCTGGACCTCTCTTGTGAGCCATAGAGATATTCAAAAGATAGACATCTTATTTTTCAGGGAAGATGAAACCATCCCTGATTGGCACCTGGTCGGTGCATTAGGAATAATATACTCAAGCAGGTTTCTTGCTTCTGGCTTTGTTCTTGTCGTCAGCAAGTACAACGAACTCTGTGAAGCTTAAGTGTTGCATAAACAATCCAAATACATTCATGTTTAAAAAGTTTGTCCTTTAACTATCAAAGCAATCTAGGTCTTGATTGGAGGAAATGAGCAAAGTTCTTTGCAAGCATATTTAGCACATTTTGACATAATGTCACACTGAAAACCCAGGCCACAAACGCGTCCCCATGAACAGTTAGGGTGTCCTCAAGTAGGTGGTCCTCATTGTTTCCTACAAAAAGGTCCTGACCTGAACTCTGTAACTGAATACTTGAACTTTTCCCACCAGGGAAAAGAGGGTCCTGAAAACAGGAAAAGCAACAACCACGTATCGAGAGTTATTTCTAAGTATGTGCCAATTTTGTCATGGCTGTTGTTTAGGGGATCATGTTTTGCCCCCACTTTGTTGGTTTTTAAAGTACTGATCTTACCTTTATTGGGGACATACCATTTTGTTTCTTATAATTCAATTCTGTCTAGCATAGAATCTTTTCCTATTCCATGTAATATTCTCTGATGTTGGGGAGGTTACCAAAAAAAATCCTTTTTCACATATTAAAATAGTCTCTGGGTTTACAACAAACACTGTGATGTCGGGGAGATATTTCCTTTGTGCAAACTTTAGCAGGTTCCCCTCTGATCATAAAGAAGTTGCAAAAAGTTGAGGCTGACATTTCAGAGAAGTTGGTCTTCTTACTTTGTGCAAAAGCAGGCTTGTACTTTATACCCCATTTGATTTCCATGTACAATCTCGATTTTGTATTTACTGACTTTTGTGTTTTCAGTATGCACGTTAACAGCGTGTCAACTTTCATTTGAAAATGGGTTTCGATTTACTTTTTAAACAGTGTTTATGATGAGATCTCCGATGTGTTGACATAAGCTCTATCTGAGATGTTTTTGTGTAGAGTGGCGTTTGAATGCTGCCAAGGGTCAGTGTATCTAATTCCCCGAGACCCTAGTTTGATAGTGCTTCTTGTAATATTTCTTTAAGTGAGTGGCATGTGGGTTGTGATTTTGACCATGTGATTATGGACTTCGATATGAAAAAAATAAATAAAATTAAGGAACCCTCAGAAACTACCAGTGGGCATGTATTAGCCAGTCATTGTAACCTTGTGTCTAGTAGAAGTACAACATGCAGGTATGTACAGTTCATAAATTTGTTATCATGTGTATGAGAAGTACTTTGTGCTGATCGCCTTATTTATATTCATCAAATAAACTTTGTTTCTTTCTGAAGTAAGTTCATTCCATCTCTAATAAATACTCTAATTCTGGTGGTTTCTAATCTTTATTATTATTATTTTTTTTTTGGTCATGGATCCCCATCTGAAAAACCTGTGGACTTGAAGGAAAAGGGAAGCCATGGACTCATTTTACTGGAGCGGCCAAAGTATGACTTACCCTTTAGCCATAGTTGGATCTAGAGGTTTCTATTAAGAAAGTAAGTCACTGGTGGTATCATCTATCTTCCTGCCCTTACCTTTTGCCTTCCCTTTTTGCCTTTCTCTCTGTGTGTCTCAACTGCCTCCCTCTTTCTCACCACCCCTCCCTTTCTCCCAATTTTCTTCACTCTTTTCATGGAATTGAATTAAGTCCCAGGTAGGTTCTCTCCATTTGGTGACAAAGATGATGCCCAACAACTGTAAACATTCTTAATTTTAGAGGAGAGACCGTCTCTCTCCTAGCATCATACTGTCCCCAAAAGGGGCTCTGAGTCTAATTAGCTTTTTCAAGGGCATTGGGCAGGTAAGGTCAGGTGATTTACAGGCTCACTGGATATGAGGGTAGGGGGCAGTTTCCAGAGGGAAATTATTGACCCTGCTCTCAAAGAAAAGGATAAGAATTCTCGGCAGGTGGAAATAACAGCTACACACATATACTAATTCATTCAGAAAAATACACAAAATTGCCCCGGGCTCACCAACCTTCAGAGCCCAAACTGGATCATGGTAGAGAACCAGCTCCTAGTTTCTTTAAAGGTGTCACATATTCTAGGAAAAAACTACTAATTCTCACCATTATTGAAATAAAAGTGTTAGTTGATTACCAGAGCTAGAAAACAGATTAGCTATCAAGTAATCCCAACACTTTCGTTTTACAGATGCGGAAACAGACCCAGTCAGAAGTGATTGATCCAAGCATACATGGTGAAGTCACTGCAACCCAAGTCTGTCCCCAAAGCTCCTGAAACAGGAATATGTGCCCATAAGGACCCATAGGAGACAATGGAACAAAATCTCACCCCATTTGACCCTTGGCCCTTGGCAACATAGGGAAAATATTTAGTGTGTGCTTTGTGGGTGGGAAGTCCCCGGTGTGAGAGTCTCTCATAGTTAGGCACACTTTGAAACGGCCTGCAGTCCTTTGTCTTTTGCATTTGTTGCCTTTTTGTAGAAAAAGAACTCTTGTTGGACAAGAATTTCTTCCCTCATAGAAGTTCCTAAAGCAACAGGTCATTATGTAAACCCCCTCGGGCAGGTGCAGCCTCTGCTGCTTTTCTCATAAACCTGTACTTTTGGTCAGGAAGATACTAGCTCACACAGTTCTGCAAGCCAACCCATACCTTTGGTTCCATTAAATCACGGAGACATAATTTGAATACATCTCTGGTTTTGACTATAAAAATCAACAAAATCAACACTGACAGCCTTTAGTATGTGTAAACTACTATTACAAAAGATTGGAGAGACGTTCTAATTCTTGGAATTGCTGATCCCTTGTGACAGTCATATTACTAAGTAAACCTGAATAAAAGTAAATGAACATTATTGAGTATTTTCTAGAACCCAAGTCATGGAACTAAGGACTAATATTTATTCTGACAACAGTCCCAAGAGGTAGATATTGTCATGATCCACATTTCATAGTGAGGGAAATGAGAACCCACAGATGATGAGGAACAGAGTGTATTTATGCAGCACTGCCTAGATGCCAGCATTGAGCTAAATGCTTTGCTGACAAAAACTCAGTTATCTTGACAGTAATCCCATGAGACAGGTATATAAGAAGAACAGGCATCCCAGGGAACTTAAATGTCTCGGCCAAGGTTCTCCAAATGGCATGTGGTTTTGAATTTGGCTCTCAGCAATCCCCTCCACTTAGAAGATGCCCTAGATAGGATGGAGGAGAATGTGCCTAGTGTTTATATCCACTGGGACTTACACCACATGCCGCCGTGTTGCAAGTTTGATCTGCAGCACAGCTCACTAGGGCTGGGAGAAACTTGTTCCTTCTTTGGTGCTGTAGCTGGCCCATACTAAGAGAAAATGGGCTGCCACATAGTGAGGCCGTAGGTCTTGATGGAAAGCAAGACACATGTGAAAGAGCCCAGACAAAGCTTAATCTATAGGATGTTATCTCTCCTCTATCAGCCTCTCATTTCTTCTAAATCCTCAATGCCTGGGCTTCAGCACCTCTGGCCTCTGAAGCATTCTTGGCTTTGCAGCATGAAACATTGGGTGACAGGAGACCAGCAGCTGTCCCCATGTGGAAAAACCCCTGGGTGCCTTGCTATGAGGTGTGGACACAATATTACTGCCACCCATCCTCAACTTCAGTCAGCTGATGCTGCTTTCCTGATGTCTTATCTCTTAATAGAGTTAAGCAATTTTTAAAAATCAAGTGGTCTCATGTTTTTATTTAAATAAATTTGAGAAGAAATAACCATTATTTATTATAGAAATCATTTGCTCTACCTAGACATCACCAAATCGAGGCTGATATCATCCAACAAGCTGGCCAAGATAAGAGGTGCAGAGAAACTTTTCAAATTGAAAGTAAAACTGGAGGTGTCTTACTACCCAAAGAAGAAAATAACAACAACAACAAAACTAACACAAGACAACTTGAGCAAAATTAAATATATGCACACACATACATTTTTTAATGCGATAAACAGAAATGGTAAGTTTGAAGTATGGGTTGTCCCAGGGACTCAAGTAACATCTCACTCTTCTTTTCTTGGTTCTTTTTCTTTTTTGTTAATTCATTCTTCAGCACTTTCAAAGTTACACAAGAGACTGCGCACGCTACCTTCCTCAGCCAACAGAAGTCTGTCATATGCTCTTCCCCACTAGGGACAGAGCCCACCTCAATCTTGTGGATCAAAAAAGAAGAAACGTTGGATTTCCAATTAAGAAAGGAAAATGGATGTTGGGGTGACAGGTTCACAGTTAAACAACATTAAACTGGTTTCTTTTTTCTTTGAATAGTTTTGACCAAGAGAGGAACGACAGAATGTGTATTCAGAGGGACACGGCATTACATTAGCAATCACACCTTCACTACACTCTCAGTTTGACGACTATTTTGTCACACTTGTCCTGAGGGTAGCATGTCATGATACAACTGCATGGACCTTGGTTTCAAAATCTAACCAATGGGCATGACACATCTGTTACCCTCCTGACATGGAGTAAGAGAGGAAAGAATGAGACAATCAATGAGAAAATGATCAGACAAATCATTCTAATGAAAATCTTTCCATAAATCTCACAAAGTCCTAGAGTGACTTATTTCAATTTTTACAACTTATATTCAAAGAAGGTCTTCCTTCTTAGTTACTTGGATACAAAATAATTGAGTGAATATATTAATTGATCAATTTAAAAACAAAAGCACTTGAGGAGCTGTTGCTACATAGCAGAACATCAATGAATCTCACAAAATATTAGGGGAAAAACAATGTACATAGGAGAATATACTCTATGATTCCATCTATATAAAGCTGAGAAAGTAACAAGCCCCATCTATGGAATTAGGGGGCAGAACAGTGGCCAATGGCTAACCTTTCTGGTGTTAGTAGCTGATAAAAGCACAAAACAGAGTTTCTGGGAAGATTAGTAATATCCTGACTCACTTGACCTCAAAGTTGGTTACATGGCCATGTTCAGTTTATGAAAACTCATCAAGTGATATGATTTGTGTACACTTTTTTCCTAAATGTCTCATTTATAAAAATTACTTCAGGTTATTCCAACACATTAATCCAGGTTCAAATTACAAGTTTGGAAAACTAGAGCCCATGGGATGAATTAAGGCTTTGGGTTCTTCTTTGTCTGCCTACCACTATGTCTCAGGATATTTTTCATAGGGCAGTAGTAGCAGGTATGGAATCTGGGAGATTGGAAAACTCTTAGAACAACTTTACATTTCTCCAGTGTCCTAATTTCTATTTGAAAAGTTACACCTGGCTAACCTTACCCTAGTGTGTTACCTGATGACCTCTGAACATATTTGAGTTTGAAACCTCTGGAAATACCAAATTCTGCTACCCCTATCCCAAACAAATGATCCTGGATTGGCTACTTAGCCTCACTGTGTTTGTTTTCTCATCCTAAAGCTATAATCATTTTTAGAAAGGCTTTTTTTCCCCTCAAGGATCAAATGTGCACTTAACATAGCACCAGCCATATAATTATGAATAAATAAGAACTTTAACTAAAATCAGTGGTAATATAATCATAAGTAATAAAAACGTTTAACAAAATAAAAGTGATGGTCACTTGCTGACTCCTGGCCACTCGCACACAAAAAATGCTTCTGAGTTGGCCCTTCCTTGTTCAGATCCGTTTGCCTTGTCATGGTTTCCCTTAACCAGTTTCCAGATCTGGATATTGGGGGTTGTAAATTTCCTTGGTGATTGATGTCAATGACAGGGAAGGAAAAACTTATGTAATTGCCACTTGTACTTCCACAAAACACATGAATTCAAGCCAAGATCTAAACAATAGTTTTTTGCACAATAATACACTGGAGTTTTTAAATGCATGAAATATCTGCCCAATTTGTATGATAAAAAATACATACCTGGTTAGAAAAACAGAGAAAAGGGACTCACACCAATCTGTGGAAGCATTTGCACTGGCTAGGACCCTTTTCTTACCAAGACAGCATGCAGCTGAAAGAAGAATTAAGACTTTGGGGTTTGTCATGGGTTGACTGGGAATCAATGCTTTTACCTGTGGCCAAAATCCACGACCTTGGTTTTTAGCATTCATTTGGTAACACGATGACCTTTCTTAGTTTGTTGAAAGGCATGCTTATTTGCAAATAACGCTATGCTGTTCAACATCCTTCAAAGAAGATAGCTTAATGAGAACATGGAAATAACTCAAAAAGCAATAGAATAGACTTTTGGAAATGTTAATGTATCATAATTTCATTTGTGGTTGTTCAAAATAGTCCTTTACAAGATTTAGCGTGTGGGATCTAAATTCTAGTTGATGGTACTTTGGTTTCTGAATATTGTGTTTTCAGCTTATGAGAA